TTAATGGTTTATCTACGTGGCATAAATAAATTAAATAGGGGTCCAATTTATTTAAAAATTATAATTAAAATATAATTTTAATATTTTTGTTTACAATATAAATTAAATTGTTATAAATATGAAAATTAAATATTAAGTTGGTTTGGTTTTAGAACGCAGGGTTTGGGTTTTCACTGTTTCTGCGATTTCGTTCGCGGGTATTTGTTACCAGTAACCAACCCACTATGGCCAGGTACCGGAGCCGGAGCAGAAGTTACAGTCCTCGCCGGCGTAGCAGAAGCCCCCCACGCGACCGGAAGCGGTACGACGACGACGACGACTCTCGAGACCGGTACCACGAAAGCAGGTCTTACAGGGACCGTCGCTCTCCTGCTCCTTCTGGATTACTCGTGCGTAATCTCCCCCTTGATGCTAGGTATTTCATGTTCTTCTTTGAACTTTCTTTGTTCTTGCCAATGTACCATTTTTTTAGTTTGTTGGAGGAATTGAATGGCTTAGCTTCCGCGTTTGGGGCTGTAGGGAAATTCGGCTTATTGTAGTAATTTTGATTAGTAGTTATATGTAGAGTGGATCAAGTAGAGCCTTTGTTGCTAGTAACTTATTGTCAAGCTTTGTGCAATCGCTTTTCACTGTGTTGTTTTCTTGTTTCTACTGTCTATCCAATCTCTATAAATTATGAAGAGTAATGGTTCAGTGTTTTGGTTGCACTCCATACAGGCCGGAAGATCTTAGGACCCCGTTTGAGCGATTTGGTCCTGTTAAGGATGTGTATCTGCCGAAGAACTACTACACTGGGTATGGTCGCATTCATGTTAACTTGTACGCAATTGGGTGTTGAAGAAACTAATTTATTTTTCCTGGTACTTTTTTCTCTTAATTATCAGGTTATCGACGCTCGAAAATAGAGTTTTGGCTACAACACTCATGAAAGAAAAATTTGAGAAAATCAAAATTATTTTTTAGATTAAGTTGCGAGATCAGAATTTCCGAGCATTGTTGGAGTTTCAAAGTTTGCCTCTACCAAAGTGGAAATTAATTAAATTGACATCACTGTGATTTTAATAGTGGTTTTGGATTAAATTTGGGCCTGAACATTAGTAATGCTTCTCGTGTGAGATCGTGGGTTTGGATTTCTCTTGTTTTGAATAAGTGGAATTTTGTTCATGTTGTGTTCTGAAATATTTTTAGTAATGATCTATTTTGTTGTCTACTTTTTTGTTTCATGATGATATAATTTCCTTCATTGCCTATTTTTAGGGAACCCCGAGGATTTGGATTTGTGAAGTTTCGATTTTCAGAAGATGCAATTGAAGCAAAACAACAGCTAAATCAGACAGTTATCGGTGGACGGGAGATACGAATTGTTTTTGCTGAGGAGAACAGAAAAACTCCTCAAGAAATGCGATCGACTTCATGCTCGAGGTTCTATGACCTTCCTTCTAACTTCTATTTTGCAGTACCTTTTGGTTTAAATATCTTCTCCTTAAAAAGGAGTTCTTAATCTTGAACTAATATATCAATTGTTTTTTTCATGCTTCTCATATATAGTGGCAGAAGCTACAGAAGGCGTTCTCCAGGAAGGTCTCCTAGACGTCGAAATCGTTGTTAGTGTCAATACATTTATCATGATTTTTTTCTTTTTTTCTGACTTTCATTAAAAAGAAGAAATTGTATTTTGGTTAATGTTGATGTTTGATCATTATCATTGTGATCCAATATTGTAAGTACATGCTCATTTTATGCTCAATAAGCTTTTTCTATTTGACTGCAGCTTACTCACGCTCACCTTCACCTGCCAGGCATGACTCAAGGTTGGATCTTATTTGTCTCACTCATTCTATTACTGGCAACACTAACGTCATTATTGTCCTGCTGTTTCTATTACTGCTTGATACTTCCATGTTTTGAAACATTGTTTGTTCGTATCTTGATAATTAGAGAGCCGTGCATGCCTTCTTTGAACCATATATTTTTGTACTAGATCTTGTCAAAACGCTCTTTATGGATGAGAAACATATTATAATATTTTGAATTTTGGTGCTTGTCTTATACAAACCTCCATTGAAGCACTTGTTCATTGTTTTTGTTTTCAGTCTAACCAAAAGGATTTTGTCTGTAAATTTAATGTATACAGACAAAATCCCTTTGGTTAGTCTGAAAATTAAAACAATTGGTGAGCACTGTTGGTAAATTTTTTATGGTCTAATGCTTGCAGAGCTCTTCTTTGGGCTTAAGGAAAGAAAAAAAACAGCATACTATTTTCAGATAATTCTAAGCAATTCTTTTTTGTGTAAGTGTTCAGTTTACTGCCTCTACTTGGAGTGTTTTACACAAATCTTTTTGTAATACAAGATTGGAGGCCTTTTATTTCTTTTTTATCACTGTTTTAGGCTTAGGGATTACGCATCCCTAAAAGACCTTTTGGCTGTGTTCTTCATCTTTTGATGATTATTTGATTTCCTTGTTTCCCATAAAAAAAATGTGAGAAATATTTTGATTAACACATCGTAATTCTATTTGCTTACCTGATCCTCATGAATTCCATTTTGTTTTAAAGAACTACTTAAAGTTATCAATCGTGTGTCAATTCTAAGAAACACAATTCATATTTCATGTTGTGATGTGTGTTGTTAGTAAATCCAAGTGGTACTCTGGTATGGTTTCAGTTGCAGATTAATATTGGTGCCGTAGTCCAACAATAATGACACTTTTAATCTTCTTTTCTCCATTATGGTTATAATGTCAGCCCAATATATAAATTCTAAGCCACACTTTTAGTTTTTTGTTTTTCTACGTGCTTTAATGGTAGACTTCTTATTTCATTTGCTTGAATGTTATCATGTTTAAACAAAGTGATTAAATTTAATGTTTGATGTGGTGCACGTGGAATATTCTACTCCCTACATAGTATGCAGAGTTGCATTGCAGGATATTGTATACAATTTACTTAATTCCTTGTTTATGCAGATATTAAAGTGTAAAGGGGGACTTTAGAGAGTTGTTGATTAATAAAGTTTAACTAGAAAAGCGCTCATAAAGAGATTGGCAACTTGCCTACTTTACCCATCGAACCCTCTCCATTTGTACAGTCTATAACTTCTTCAATTGTCTTAGTTGCCTGGTTTTTATCTGTTTGTTGACATTTGCTTTGTGAGGCAGAAATTAAGCATTGGTGAGAGTTTCAAATCAATTTCTAGTTCTTTTTTCCTTTTTTTCCTCCCTTGCAAATCTCCACGATTAATTAGCAAGCAATTTTTAAGTTTGATATCTTCTTTTGCATATACCATCCAGTTAAGAAAGATTAGAGCTTATAGTGGCCAAAGAAAGAATTCATCTTCAAAGGAGAAAAGCCAAAGTTTTACTGGTTGTGGTATGGTGACATTGTGCAAGAAAAGATAATGTGATTTTTAGAAAGTTGGGGCAAAGAAAGCTATGAGCTTCTCAGAAGCTGATCAACCAATACAGCTTAATAGAGCATAATTCTCAGTGTTTGGATCTACTTGTCATAATTTTGTTCGGAAACCTTAAATTGGTGCAGGTAAAAGTCATGTTTTGTTGATAAGTTTTGAAAATAATGTTAATACAAACTTCTGCATGTAAAAGTATGATATAGTTTCATAAGTACCTATTCAACCTACCTCATCGGAGCCCTTGAAGACTCTGCTCGGACAGGCTTCCTTTCCTGTTACAGAGAGAGGTGGTCATATTTTGCTGTTCTAAGTCTGAATGGAAGTCTTATCTGTTCGATATGTTAATTTATTTGACTATTAATCTTTTCCCATCATTGTGGCTGATGCAGGAACCGTGGGGCAAGGGGCGAGTATTACTCTCCTGCACGATCTAGGTCAATTTCACAATCTTGTTTCCCTCATGACAAACGGGATTACAGCCAATCTCCGAGGCCGAAGGAGAATGGTCGGAGCTCTCGTGAAGTGAACATTGCATGCAGTGGGTCAAGGGGTCCAAGGGCTGTTAGCCGCAGTCTTTCTGGATCTCGTTCACGATCCCATAGGTATTTTACCTTTCAAGTTCCTTTAACTGACTTTCTAAAAGACAAATGTCCCCAAGTTAGAATAAGTGGATCTATGCAGGGAACCATTTTGTAGTGTTGCTTGCAGAAAAGTTGATTTATGCAAGTTTCAAGATTCATGTGATTATCTAAACTAAATAAATAAAGCTTTTACACTGTTTACTTTTTCCTTGGTGATTCACGTGAAATGTCCAAGTGGATTAAGGAGGCCCTATGCTAGATATCAATAGATTTACAATATGTATGTGTTACCATAGAAGATAAAAATTGCTTATGATGAAGTTTGGTGTATTTAAGAAGCTCGTGATATTTCCTAACAGACGTTCATCGATTAATTCATTAAGGGGCAGGAAGGAAATGACATGCTTTAGTTAGGAATAGCAAAGTTGTTGAGTTCGATTTGTCATTATTGAACATTTCTCCTGGTGTCCATAGTGTGTTGTGTTTAGCCGGTAGTCCTTTCAGCTGGTTGATTGAAGAATTTAGAAAGTTGATTAACACCCTGCAATCTTGCTTCTGCAGTCCTCGCTGATGGATGCGTTTTGGGTTTGCACGGAGCTTCCTGAAGATACGTTAGCCTGCCTTCAGTTGTGGCCCAATGAAGTATGCTATTCCATGCCATGCAGTTGCTTAAAGAATTCACTTTATTATATGCGAGTCTGGAGGGCTGGACTTGAGTTGTGGATTGAAGAACAGTGGAGTGTAATCGTGGTGTTTCTCAAGCAGTTAACTTGATGTGAATGCATGCTGGTAGACTACTTCTTGACCTGTCCTTTACTAGATCTACGATTTTGGGTTCAGCTGTGGGTTTCGACTCTACTCTTGAATATGTCGAGTGGCTGTATTTGATGATACCATAGGTTTAGAAAAACTCGTCATGTTTGAGTATATTAACCAGTAAGTTCGGCTCGAAACGATTACATTTTGGTTTCGAGTCTGATGAGTTGGTTTCTGCTGATTAGAAGAAATATGCCACCACTTAATGTTTTCTGGTAACTGCTTTTGTATCCTAAAGCCGTAATTTTCATATACTTATATACACACACAAAATCTAAAGCAAAATGATAGCAGAGATTCGTATGAACTTAACCTACAATTTCCCCCGTAGGATAAACTTATATAGCAGGGGAATACAAAAAAAATGTACAGAACAAACCTTCCTTCATTCACTTTGCTTTGGATCCTCTGATTCTGATTCAACTGAACTCTTGTTAACTGGAGTTTCCTCCAGTCGGTGCTCGATGCTTTCGTCCTCTACTTCTGAACAGCTAGGAGGCAGGTCCAAATTTGCGGATTCATTTTCTGGCAGAGTCGAACTGGAGGAAACATCAACTTGATTGCTTATGGTAGTTTCTGCACCTGCAGTGGCGCTATCAGTCGAACTCTGGACCAAGTTGCAAGCTGGAGGTACATCGACTTGATTACACTCGACAGCAGTATCAACTGTACCCTGTGCTGAATTGCAAGCTGAAGGTACATCGACTCTATCATGTATGGTACTGCTATCTGCTGGATCCTGCACCGTGTCACAAACCGGAGGTACGTCAATTTGAGCACATATGGCTGCTGTATCAACTGCACCCTGTGCTGTGTCACAGGTCGGAGGAACATCAGATTTATCACATATGATGACCATTTCTACACCTGCAATGCTATCAGCCGGATCCTGCACTGATGAGCCACCTGCTGACTGGCACCTTTCATTTGCTGTGAGTACATCATCGGCTTCGTCGCGTATGACTGCTTCTACAACTGCAATGGCGCTATCGATCGGACTTGGAACTTGTGAGCTTTCCATACTTTCAGTTTCAGCGGGTAGGGAGGATGGAAGATTGGCTACTTCTGTTACAGCCTTCTCTAGAGAAGGCTCCCCCACCTGAAATGCGAGTTACACATTAATATGCCAATTAAATAACAGAGCATAACAATGTCTCGAACGACAATGACAATGTAAGGTCGTAATCTTTTTATTTATCGTTTTTTTTTTGGGCGAGGGACCAACCTCGGATGCATCGGTTTCGTCAATCGTCTGAACTTCAGCAACAGATTGCATTAGATCTGCTCCTACCTCCTCTGAAACCGGAGAAGACGAAGACACAATTGTTTCTCCTGATATATTCTTTTCTAAAATCACACCAGCTTGAGAAGAATCCATTGGATCTGTAACAGGCTGAGAACCTTGTATGTCGTTCAGTGGCCGTGATGATGAGCTAGCAATTAGACCACTGTCGAGTAAGGCATCGGACTTCTCTTCTTCCATGGTTGTTGGAGGTGCGGGCTGAGTAAAGGTATCAACTGCATTTACTGACACAGCCTCCCCTGTTTGAGGAACATCCCCTGTCTGATCACCAGCTGAATCTTCCAACTTTGATACCGTTAGATGATTGGAAGGATCATTTAAGCGGAGGTTTTCAGTGATGCTTAAAAGCTGTCCCTTGCTGCTAATATCAGACTCCTTACGATCCTCCGACGGGTCTGCACTATCTAATAAGGTTTTCTCGAACGAGTTTCGCAGCTTGTCTTCCTCAGATGATACGTTTTCTGACAAAACCAGGTTATCCTGTGTTGCAACCATATGGTCACTACCTTGATAATCACTTGGCCCCTCCAGAGAGACTGGGGAGCTAATGGGTTCCATTTGAGACGATGAAGCAGGCACAACCGAAACATCCGACACCTCGTTTGTTAACAGTTCACTATCCTCGAGAGCTTCTACTGAATCTGTGACCGTGCAGCCACACGAATCATCCTTGGAAGAATCCCCAATCTTTTCTCTGTCTGTCACTGTGGACGAGGATACAGGTAAATCAGTTTGATCACCTGAATTATCTAAATTTGTATCGAGCAATGTCATCTTATATGAATCCTTAACTTCTGAAGAAGATAAAGATTGTGCCGAAGTTCCAAGAACATCCTCGACTAGTGGATCGGATTGCTTTTTCTCCCCAGGAGACCCTTTAACTCCAAATTTGTTGGGTTCCTCCTGGTTCCCTAAATTATCAACTTGATCTCCCACAGATGTGAAAGAACAATTTTCTTCCCCTCCCTGCAATGAGGCTGGTAGCAGAACCATATCATCAGTTTTACCTTCTGATACACGTTTTTCGTCAGAATTGTCCATTTGAACAACAGCATCAGAACTGGAGATATCCATATCCCTGAGACATGCACCATGGTTGTCAGCTCGGTTACCTTCATTATCCTGAATCCGAGGAATCGGAACGCTTTTCTCAGGAACATTCTCAGGATTAACAAATTCAGCGTTTTCTTCGACATGATCTGATACCTTCAAATTCTCATCCGGAATATGATTACTACTATCATTTAATGATGTTTTCTGACCTTCAACATCAGTTTTTAAAGTGCATTCCGCAGCCTCAACTCTATGATCAGATGAAGGTAAAGTTGGCAATTCTTCTGAAGTAAGCTCTAATTTATTTCCCAATGTTTGCTCCACCAGATTAGGTGCACCTGCGTTTGAAAGATCTTGACTACCACTAGACCTCCCCTGCTTCGAGGCAGCATCCATGTGTTCAACAGCAGGATCAGTATCATTCACTTCTTTATGTTTACTCTCGATATTCATAGTAGTTACAGAAACACGTTCTTGAACTTCAATTTCAGCACCTGGCATACATGCGTCGGAACTCTCGTTAAAATTTGAAACATCTGGATGATCGAGATTTTCACGATGAGCTGAGAGACTTTGACAGACACTATGACAATCTTGACCAGGATCCTCCATCGAAGTTTCAACAATCATAACAGGTCTAAGATCACCTTCCATCTTAACTGCAGCACGAACAGACACCGTTTCATTCATCATAGTATTCTCTGTTGTACCAGAAGATACACTGGGACAATCTTGCCTCGCAGGTCTTGCTTTTAAAGTTTCAACAGCTGTATGATAAGGTTCTGTGTTGTTAGATGCCTTGATAAATTCAACTGAAACTTCAAAAGAAAATTTAGAATTATCACCTCTTCCAGAATCCATGCCTATCTTCTCAGGAGAGTAGTCGATCGAACATTGACCCGACATTTCAGGCATAGATGTGGTGGCAGGACATTCAAGACTTGTATGATCAAATTCTGATGGTTCTGAGAATCCCTCCACGTCAAGAGTTTTCTTTGTGATATCAGTGGCCGGTTCACAGGGACAGTCCACAGAAGTTATTCTTTGATCATCAAGAGTTTTCGATTGACTCGGATGAGCCTGGTTAGCAGAAATTTCTGCATTTTCAACAATGGTCGTGGCAACGGTCACTGTAGTATGAGATCTACTTGACATATCAAGAGGGCATTCTGAAGGCTCTTCCAAAGGCAGTTCTGCCATGTTATTCGAAGGAGCAGGATGATTTACACCATCGTTCTTCGAAGGCGAGGGAACTTTGTAGTCGCTTCTATCAGGATAAGATTTTAAAGATCCTCCACTAACAGGGTTTGCTTCATTTTCCAATACATTATCCATCACCTCAGGAGCCTTTGATACCTTGGAATCACCCAGACTAGAGGAAACAGGTGAGGATTCTGGGGGATTATGATCAGCATTGTTGAAGTTTGATGAAATTGCAGAGCCACTAACCTGAGGACAAAAAGATTTAAGATGTTCTTTCAAAGAAAGGCATAGATCTCTAGCAAATATCATTTTTATTTGATCAGTACTAAGAGGACAAAGGGAAATGGATCTCACAACACTTACCACAGTTGAGCATCCATCATATGTTTCTCTTGATTCAACCAATTTATTTACTGAATCAGCCTTCGCACATCCAGAACCGTCATCATCGATCTTCAGAACGATGGATTCTTCTAAAGCATTTGCAGAATCTGGTCTCATTTCATTAGCTACATCTGAATATTCTTTTTCATGGGCCTCAACTGGAATGTTGGAATTTAAAATAGCCTCTGATTTATGACTTTTGGTCACCTCCACAGAGGACTTGCTCAAAACAGGCATCGCGGAAGCATCCTTGTTTTCAATCTCAGATGACGCTCCAACTTTAGCTTTTGACAAGCCAGTCCCAGAGAAGACTTCCTTCATTACCCGAGCAACGTCATTTACATTTGCAGTTTGATAACGGCCTGATGCAGAGGTCTTGTCCAAGGCTCCAGTAGCAACAATCTTTGTTGATGATGCCAAAAGCTGTTTATGTTGAGCAGGTTTGGGTACTTGCTCCTTTCTTTTCAGATCCTGGGAATCCACAGTATCTATAATTTGGGTACAACCTGCGTGATTCTGAACATTGGTTGATTCTTGATTCTCAGTCTCAGTTTTACCTATTAGGCCTATGTCTTTACAACTTGAATCCCCCAATGGCCCTGGTTGCACAAGCACATTCAAATCTTTAGATTCCTTGCCAGCTGAACCATCAAGAACGACAGAAGGCAACGAGGCCGGTTTTTTTCCCCTACGCTGAGAGGGCTCTACCCTTTTAGCAGTCTTACGACCTTGCCGTTTAGGTTCCACATATACGGGTGGTGGACAGTGAGATGCAATTTGCACGCTTGAAGCCACTGATGCAGACGAATGAATTGGCTGCGAAATAGGAGCAGTCTCTCTAGCAACATCTGTTACAGCTTTGGGACTCATCCCCACAGCAACAGAAACGGCTGGAGGACCACATGTTGGAACTGCAGTTTCTGGAGTAGATGTAACTGGATAAGTTGTGTCTCGCAAGCTATGACTCTTCAGTGTTTCATCAACACGATTATTTGTTACAGTTGCATCCTGGGCCGCACGACTCTTACTCAAGTGCTCAGAAGGGTTTGCTTTGGACGTGCAATCTCCAGAAGAAGCCTCCTTGATCACATTAGAAATGCCACGAGAATCAGCATTTTGGTTTTGTTCAGGAGTAGGCCCTGCATAGAATTTAAAAGCCTGAATTCAATGAAAAGTAGATTGATAAACATAGCAGACAATGATCACATGCTGAAGTCTATCTAATACTTGCCTTGTGGTTCCATAGTACTACCACAAGTTGATAGGCTGATTGTCTCCTTGCTTTTATTGGGATTATCTTCCAGTTTATCTTCCTGATTGACAGTACTCAAAGAAGAATCAATATGGTTCATTTGCAAATTCGCATTCGAACTTAGACTAGCACCAGCCATGGTGTTGGGCAATGAAGCTGCTACTACTTGTTTCTTTCCTCTACGTCGTGGTGCTCCAGCTGCACTTTGCGTCTTCCGACTTTGTCCTCTAGGCTGTACAGGCTGAGGATTGAAACAAGGAGCAAATTGTGAGAGAAACGGCACAGAAGGAAAAGAAGGACAAGGTTCCAAACTTGATGATACCTCAACAGCCGGCTGATCATTAGGTCCAGTGACAGGTTTTGAAGGGCCAGAACCAGGTAAACTAGAGGGAATGTCACTTGCAACATTAACTTGACTTGCCACTGGGTTTGTGGATTTACCCTGATCGTCTTGACATACTTCAGAGGATAGACTACCAGGAACAGGAGGTGGGACCAGCCCCTGTTTTTTCCCCCTTCGTCGAGGAGGTTGTTGTCCAGTTTGAGTTTTTCGACCATGACCTTTCACTTGAACCCGTGCAGGCGAGCAAGCTGGAGCTGACTCAGAGGCAGGAATTATAGAAGGCACAGGGGTAGTTAACTGAGAGTTTGCAGAAACCTCTTTAACAAGTTGATATGTTGTTCCTTCACTAGGCAAAGAATCAAGACCGCCAGTTTTAGAAATGCTTGAAATAGTTTCTCCTTGCAACCCTGTGTCCACGTCGTCTGCTATGGAAGGAGACGGAGAAACCACTGGAGCAGGTGACTTATCGACAGCCGCTCTTTTTGGTCTTCCACGACCTCGCCTCGAGGGTGGTGTTTGATGCTGAGCCATAGGCTCAACAGGAGGCAAAGGGGAGGCAGCAGGAAGTTCTTCCTTCAAAACATCTCCTACAACGGGCCCACTAATACTGGTCGACGATTCTCCTGCCACAGCTTCCTTTGGCCCTGGGGATTCAGGCGAGTCAACCTTGCACATCTTTTCAAACTCCTCTTCTGTCCACTGTTCCTCGTAGGATCGCACCTATTAAAATAGAAAGTTCAATGGAAATAAATCAAAATCTAATGACAGCCAGAAGCATTAAGGTATAACAAATTCACGAGTATTAAAAACACTCGTCAGACCTCTCTTGCCCGCTTCCCCCTCCCGTAATTATGTGTGTCGAGACCTCCAAGATATTCGCTCTTCCTCTTTACCCCCCCGACTTGGGCTCCCTCCCTAGGTTTTGGTACTTCTTCAGTTATCTTCATTACTTCATAGAATTCTTTCAGGTCATTATCTGTTACAAGACGTGAAGGCATGGGAGGAATAGACTCAGAAATTCCATGACCAACTACCAGCTTCTTCCATGTGGCCTGAAAAATTAATGTTCAGAAGTGAACACAGTATGAATAAAGTAGAAGACATAAAAAGTGTCGATTTGCATACCATCTCATGCTCTCGTCGTTCTTTGTCCACTGTTTCAAACACGTCAATCTCTGGCTCACTGTGAACACGAAGACAATGGTCAATAAACTATGGTTTCCTTCCTTATTGCACTTTGAGGGTCATATAACCATGGGTCCTTAAAACAAGATGTAGGTGTACCTGCGTGCTAAGAGATCATTCAGAGAATCATCATCTAGTACAGGTGCAGCTTCTTCTTTCTTACACTCGCGTAGAAGAGACTCCAAATATTCCCTTCGATCTTCAGCACTGCAGTAATAAATGGGATAAAAGCAATTAGTGCCTCAAGAACAACATGGATTTTCATAAAAGGGCTACCAACCTTGTATTGTTGTCAAAAAAGCCGGCTGTAATACTCTGGTTAGCCACTCCAAGTTTATGCTCTGCAGCAGCTCTCACTTGTTCTTCCACCGTTTGAACCTGGAGATGGACATAAAAGAAAGATCAGGATGACAATATCCACAGAAAAAGGTAGAAAAGAAACGAAGAAACAAAATGTTGATTATAGAAAAAGCTCTGCGAATGGTTTTAGTGACGAAGTTATCACATGATATCAAATGTTCTTTTTAATAAGAAACTTGCAAATAGCATTACTCAAGAGATAGAATAGCCTAGGGGCCGGGGGAAGAGAGATGCCCCTCCCAACAGGAGCTACTTACTGTTTCAAATCTAAGAACAAGCACATCCCTCTTCTGGCCGATCCTATGAGCTCTTGCCTGTGCCTGTAAATCAACCTGACAACATCCACAGTAAACAAAATTTAGAACAAAAGCTACATCAGATTCTTGACATAAATATCATGAAATTTGGATATATATGCCTGTGGGTTCCAGTCTGTGTCGAAAATAATCACTGTGTCAGCAGCTTGAAGATTCACTCCCACACCACCAGCTCGAATACTGACACCACAGGAACATGCTACTTGAGAATGGAGACAAGAATATTCATAAGAAGAACAGATCAGACAGACAATATGAAAGTTACCTAAGAAGGAATATAAAATAGGGAGAATTTTGCCCATTAAATGACTCAATGAGAGCACCACGATCTCCCCCAGCTGTATGTCCATCCAATCGTAGATATCGATACTGTTTCCAGTGAAGATATTCCTCCATAACATCGAGCAGCCTAGTCATGGTGGAAAAGAAGAGAACCTGCAACGATATTAGTCTATTAGAGATATTGAAACAAAACAGAAGGATATAAGGTGACAAACAGAACAAAAGCTCGTTCTGATTTGAAATCATTGACATAGACAATTAACTAGTCTGACTAGAGGAAAAAAGAAGTAATATATCTTTCAGCATTGAATTCTCATCAGAATTGTATCTTGTTATTGTCCATACAAGTACTTACCCGATGATCAGTTGCTTTTAGCTTTGGCAATATTCTATCTAACATCTCAAGCTTTCCGCAGAGTCTAACAATTGGCGGCAGGTAATGCTTAGGTATCAAATTATCAACCTACACAAGAATACAGAAATTTCTCAGGACAAATACCAACAAGCAGGAAATAAGGTAGTTTAAGCTTCCAACTCGAGGTTGTGCATCGTCAAAATGAAAAGACAGTGAGGATAAAACGCTCAATCAGGAATACAGGGAAGTGGGTGCTGAGACAATTTGTTTATCCAAAAACCATTCAATAGATACTTTGCATTGAAAGAAAAGAAAGACATGCCTCCTCTGCATGAAGATGGCTTAGATAAGGATGGTTACAAATATTACGCAGCTCCATCACCGAGTTATGCACTGATCGGACCTGGAAGGAGAATATGTGTAAGAGAGTGTAGGTAACAATTGAATTATCATAGTAGTTAGAATTACAATTTCTTCTCGAAAAATAAGTAGAACATAGGTGAAGGAACCTTTGTACTTCCTATTGAACCAAGGTTATCCTCTACTCTCCTCATTAAAAGTTTCTGATATGCAGAAGCTTCACATCGTACAAGTCTTTCAATCTTTTCTGGCAGTTCATTTTCCACCTGCAAGCAAGAATACAAGAACCTAAATACGTGATAACAAGGAAATATTCCTCTGAAATCTTCCATACATAAAAACTACCCAGCATTTTCACATTCAGATCAAAAGAACTTAATATTTATTGTTACAATTACATCATAATAAATAGCAGAATACTGAAGGGGATTCATGAGAAAATAGAATGATTCTTCCATAAAAAGGGCAATAAAGCACCAATAAACAGTGAAAATTTATGAAAACAAAAGGATATACTGAACATAAATTTTTGTTCAAACAAACCTTGTGTTTAAGCCTCCGAAGAACAAACGGGCGAAGAACTTGGTGAAGTCGATTTATGATCAAAAGATTCTCCTCTTCAGAAAGCAAGGCCTTGTCCAAAACGAAAAGTTTAAAAAATTAAGTGAGAAAGACAAAAGAACTGAATTTTAAAGAGAAGTTGCAGAATTTAGGAATTACTTCTTCGGCTGAACTATCACCATTACTCTGGAATGGTTTGTTGAACCACTGAGAAAAATCCTCTGATGAATTAAAAATATTTGGCAACAAAAAGTTCAGTAATGCCCAAAGCTCCTCAAGGTTGTTCTGCACAGAATGGATTCAAAGTAAGCCAGCACCTTTAACCCAAAAGAAATTTCACCTATTTCCCGAGTAAATTTCATTTTTTATAATGGGCGACGAACTAAATTTAAGCTCTTTATGACGGTGAGGCTACAGCGACTTGACGTTAAGAATGTAATATATTTGAATGCTCACTTTCGGCATCTAAAACATTTCAAATCATAATGCCCCCCTAAAAGAGAAGAGGATGAACAACGACTGTGACCTGTAGCGGTGTCCCGGTCAAGAGTAATCTGTGAGAACTACGGTAGTACTTCAGATCAGCATTCAACTTGCATGAAGCATTCTTTATGCGATGGCCTTCATCAATTATAATATAGTGCCAATGAATTTTGCTTAATTTTGGCCTATCATGTTTGTTCATCAGATACTCATATGTGGTCAGAAGTACATTAAACTTCTGATGAACAATTCTCTCCCTGCAATAATGATCAGGTAAGTTTACGAATTACCCAACAAGGATTCAAGAGAGAACATATGGAAATCATTACTTGAATAGTCTGCGCCGCTCTTCTGGAGGTCCAGAATACACAATTTTAAGCACACTTGGAGCCCAGAAGTTGATCTCGGACTCCCATCCAGGTAAAACTGATGATGGTACAACCACCAAAAAAGGACCTCGATCGTTCTTAGTCTCCATTAAATAACAGATCAGGGAAATTACCTGGAAATTCCCCTGTTAGTAACACGGAACGATACAGAAGCTAAATATAGTCGCGTACAAAACAGCTTAAAACAGTATGGTACCTGAACAGTTTTTCCAAGCCCCATTTCATCAGCAAGAATTCCATTCAAATGGTTGTTGTATAACGAAACGAGCCACCTAAGGCCATTCATCTGATACCTAAAATTTGTATTGCCACATTCACAAAGAATTTTAGAATGGCCCGAGCACTGGCTTTTTTTGTTCTTAGATCATATGAGTTCAGAAAATCAAAGAACTAAAGTAAGTACGAAAAAAGATATTGCCAAAAATAGTTTTAATTTTGAGATAAACTAAACAGGAGGGGATGATAGGAAAAGCATGATACTCACTCCCTCAACTTTCCTCCATGAAGGCAGGCTGGCTGCTCAGTTATGCTTTCTTTAACACTGTAAAGAATATTCATATAAGATATCAGAAACAAATTAACAATATCTCGCTGTTAATGAGCTAATTTTCAAAGCACTGGTCAAAATTTGTTTTGGGCATGGGGTGGAGGAAGAAGAAAGCATGTAATGCGTCACCTATGTGCCATCAAGTAGTACTTCTCATTACTTTCCAAGTAATGCTGTAAGAAGAATCAATGTAATCAGTCAATAAGACAAAAACAAATGCAAGAAGGTGAGAAGAAAACCACTTGCCTTTGCCTGATCGCTTTCATCTTCATTCTCGATAGCAAATTCACTTTTTTCAGCAGTATTCACGTCGCATCCATCATCTGTATCATGCCCAAACCGGCTTTCTGTGGACTTCGCCTCCTGTAGCTTAGATCCAAGCTTTTGAAGATATTTCTCAGTCTCCTTGAGAAGTTGCTTAACACGATCCGATTTCGCATCCTAGCACAGGAAGTGAATTGTTAGAGTGAAAAAAAGAAAAATCTACAACACAATCTGATTTTGCTTCAAGGGAGAAAATTTTGAATTTCCTTCAGCCCCTTTTCAATTTACATATAACACAAATTTTTTACAACTTATAAATTAAAGACTGAAATCATGAATAATGCACTGTAGAAATACTTATTCATGATAGGAAATATTATGAAGAAGAATGATGACTTCCCCTTTGATTGCTAGTAATCATCAAAGACGAGACAAACCTGCACCATTCGCAGATACCCCTCGACATCATTGATCTTCAAAAGATTGATCTTCTCACGTTGGATTCTGTCAATTTTCTCACGATGAATTCGTTCCTTCTTTTTGTGGAACTCCTTGACATACTTATTGAAACCCTTCCACCTCTCTCTCTTAAATTTAAATACATCATCAAGTCTTTCCCTAGAATAAAGAGTTGACGAACAATAAGCAAGATTTGAACAACTTTTTAACTTCAATCCATCAGAATTTGTTTTTCATTCATGGAATTAAGCCATTTGAGGTTTAATTTTAAGAAAGTATAGACAAAAGCTGCATTAGATAGGGCACCACATACTTGTGAACTTCAATCTCACCAAAGAACTCCTTTTGCCTCTCTCGTATTCTCTTTTGCCTCTCCTCCTTCATTCTCTGCTCGAATTTTTCAAGTTGTTTAATCCTCCTACCATGTTTGTGCTTCTTGAAAGATTTCAAGCGGTCCATCTCATTCGAAATTGGTTTGAAGAAATCATTTAGACAATCACTGCCAAGATTTTTCAAAATTCATCAGAAAGATTAATCAAAGAAGAAATAATAGCAATGAATGTAAACTAGAGGACAACTCATGAGAAATGACTAGTTATTACTTCCTGAGGCGACGCTGAAGCTGCAAGAGTTGAAGTTTTTTCAATTCTATTACACTTCTAGTTTTTGCAGATATATCATCTGATGAGCTGACAGTACTCTGAAATGTATGGAAAGGAAAATGATACATGAGAAACGAAACGAAACGAACTAAATGTGCCAGATCATTATTGATGAAAAATCTTTTTTTTATAAGAAAGAACAGAGATATTATAAAGCTGGAAAGACAACCAAAGGGTGTCCCACCCAAAGAAACTACTTACAAAAATGCCTTTCAATCAAGAATAATCAATGAAAAATCATTTTCAAACTACAAGTTCCAGCAATATCCCAGAGGCATTAACTACAGTTCAATTCAGCATCAACAATGAATGGAAATAGAGAGAAAAACTGAGTTGCACACGAACCTTTAACTTATCAAAACGAGTGGCAATACGTTTCTCAGTTTTTTGTTGTTTCAGTAACCAATTTTGCTCATTTAGGAGTTTCTTTTTCTGCCGATCCATTATCCATTTCTCTGACATGGTGTACTTTCGAGACATCGGCAAATCAGATGCCACTGACTTACCATCATCTTCTTGTTCCATAGTATTTAGGCTGCCATTTATCCCTTCATCTACAGATGTCACTTTGTGCACTTCTGTGATGCATCTAGGTTCAGATTCTGGCATATTTCTATAATCTACAATGAAGATTCATAACATTCAATAAGAACCATTCAACCCATCTGAATTAAAGTTCTGCGAAAAGAACTCACCATGAGATGCAAGATTTGAGATCACACTAGCATCTCTCAAAGGCATTACAGCATGGTATTGATCATATGTCCCAGAGATAGGTTTCCACCGCTCCCCTATTGAAAAAGAAGACCAACTATTAGTACGTTGACTCCCTAAACCACTATTGTTTCTAACAACGTGCAACCGAGCAGATGCATCATTATTTCTATCAACTACCAGCTCATGCTGACTAGCAAAGGCTGGTAGACTTCCCCTAGAAACCTCATTTGTGCTGTCAATTCTAGGGTTTAGTGGCTTACTCATACCCACTGTAGCAGTGGCTTGATTGGTCTGTCCAATCAGAAGATTGCTATTCCCCAAATCCTCAAAAGGATTATTTGCAGTTAAGCTCCCCCTTGCACTCGAAAAGTCAAGGGGATGCGATGCAGTGCTCAAGAATGTTTGAGAAATTGCTTTTTCCCGCATTAGTTCAGTTTCTGGCTTTCTTACTTCTGCTTGAACAGAATGATCAAAAAGTGGGCCCTTGTTATCCTCTTCTCTTCTATTATCTACTTCCTTCATGGAGTCAACCTCATAGGTTCTTCCAGCAGATACGGCGCCTGGGATCATCGTACCTGTTCCCCTTGCAGCATCCAACTTTCCTGATGGCATCATGACTTCACTGGAACTTCTGGCCTCATTAAAAGATTGAGCAATGCCTCTAGGATCAACATCTTTGTGAAGCCCCTCTTCATTGGCATTTAAAGTAATCAATAAAAAGAAGCGACTATGTGATAATGATAATGCATAGTTTTTTTCTTTGAAAGAGGCTAATGCTCAAAAATACAATCTATTGCATGAGAGAAACAATAAGAACAGGACATAAAGAATAAAATAAAACATATAGATCCTATATGGAATAATCAGCATAGCATTTAGAAAGGAAACACCATAATGAAACCTTAAGACAAGCTCGTATAATGCATAGCTTTGTTCACACACACACACATATATATATTACAGTTGTCTACCTTCTTTAGGAGAATTATTCCCGAGAGCAATTTCAAGATGCAGTTTCTTTGGCATTAAACCATTTCTGAAAAAAAAAAGAACGAAACGTAAAATTAAACAACCAACTAGAACAAGTATTGATATTATTTTAACACAACATGCAGATTAAGAAGAATAAGCAACCTGAATGCTAAAAACACAAGGCACTGAGCCCTAAGTTGCTTTAATTGTTGTTCCTTGAAAGGCAAACGAGATTGGGATGAGGTAGGAACCTGAGAAACAGGAAGCTTTCCTGCTTCTCTAGAAACGGGGTTACGTAACATACTCATTTCTGGTCCGTTGTTCCGCCATGCACCCTGTTAACAATATATGCCAAGTTAATATCTAATTATGGATAGGCATTCTTGGTATAGCTCCCAAATAAAGCTGTTTGCAAAGTCCAAGTAGTGGTTGTACTGAAAAGCGTACTATACAAATTTTGTTTCGATTTTGAAATGAGAGCCAAACGTCAATAAGGCAAGTGGAAAGGATACGCAATAAGCCAAACGTCATGCACCTAAGGTGTTTCAAGTCATATGCAAAAGATACGCAACGGAAAATCAACCCTAATAAAAGAAAAGAGAAGAATAACGAACAAAAGTAGTACTAGGAGAAGATCAATTGAAGTATCTGGATATTTGTACACAGGTTTATACTTCCACAACACAAACGTTAGAAAGACAGAAAAAAGAGATGTGAACCAAGGTAAAGTGAAGTTATCAAAGGAACTATTGTTTAACAAAAAAACTAGCATTATCAAGAAAGTATTAAGCACCTGAATCATTTTCGCAGCATCAACTGATGATGTGCTAGATATAGGTAGTTCACTCTCCAAAACTTTTTCGCCCGAGGTAGATATCCCACCACCTCTGTTCACAGAATACATTGGAGGGTCAATAGCCTTTTCAGCAGCCTTTGTTAATCCATGCTTCACCTGCTCAATATTGCCTGCACCGTATAACGAGTCGGTGAACAGTAGAAGAGGCTTGGAGATAGTGGTAAATTGGTAATACAAGTTGGCAACACTGTATGCTCCATAGTTCATCCTATATGAACATGATACTTTTCCACTATGACTACATGGACCTAGTTGGCCAAGCCATTGCTAGCTTTCCAGCTAACTTAAAAAACAAAAGAAAAGGCACATACCTCCCTTAACTAGATATGCGGGTGGTTCGACCCTATTTGTCTTCACATTCCTAGGATTAACCGACAGATTGCGGGAATCAAGTTGATGGGTATCGTCACTAGATGGTTCCATAACTGATGTATCCACCTTCTTCCTCTTCTTGGTGCCCTTCTTACCATCCTTATCATTTAATTGTTTGTCCCAACTCACTGAATCATGCTTCTCTTGTGACTGTGAGTTGGCAGACCTCGAATCCAAACTAGAAGGACTTCCTTGATCAAAAGATTGACCACTCCGATGAGTTGCAGGTCCTTGGTAGTAATCATGATCTGTACTACTTGGGGCAACAGGTGGCTTGCTTGGAGCAAGTGAGCCACTTCTGGTGTCACTTCCAGATATACCCATTTTGGAATCTTTAGCTGTACCAACAACACTGGAGGAGCCTGCAATTATTTCTACAATGATTTATTCCGAACAAAGTATAGCATGTGTATTTGTAGACAAACATTATGCAAACAATCACGCGTGCACTTGCAAACCAGATACACTTATAACCAGTACCAAATAGAAGATCATTGTACCCGCATATTGTGCAGTAGTAGAATCACCCATCTGAGTTCCACCAGTGAGAGGAAGGCGTGAAGCCCTCAAAGCTTCAATATCAAGACCATGTTGATTGATGACAGTCTCCATGGCTCTAGATTAAAGAGTTTTGGTTAACAGAAAGGAAATAAATAAGAATAGCAATCTAAAGAAACAATGGTAGGATCAAAGCAATGAACATTTATTCTGTAAAGAGGTAGAATTGCACCAAAATGCCATTCAAGACCAACAACCTAACAGAGACATATTACACAGTAAAAAGAATTCTAAAAACAGGATTTCTAATCAAATTTGGCATCAATATAGAGCTTCTTCATGGATTAAGTGTCAATAGATGTGACGAATGAAAAAGCAAACCATAAGTTTCTTTTTCCACCATTCCTCTCTTGGCCTTCCACCCTTTTTATGTAAGGGACCAAGTTCACCACTAGCAGATATTGTCCTCTTTGGGCTTTCCGTTCTGAGCTTCCCCTCAAGGTTTTAAAACGCATATACTTGGGAGAGGTTTCCACACCCTTCCAACCGATGTGGAATCTCAAAATTCACCCCCCACAGGGGCCCAAAAGGGGAAGCCGAAAGGGAAAGCCCAAAGAGGACAATATCTGCTAGCGGTGGGCTTGGGCCGTTACATTTGGCATTTACTTAAATTACAAAAAATTAAAATTGATTTCTCGTGTATCTAACTAAAACAAAGCCAAATAGATCATTATCCAATTGCAACAAACCCTTGGCCTCGGTGACCATTGCATCATAGATGCCTTTTGGATATCAGTCATATAGTGAACTATAACCTAGCATCATGCATATTAATGCAGGTGGTTTATATTTTTCCCAAATTAGAACAAATGACAGTTCGGTATCGGGAAAATACAATCATTAGGAACTGCAACAATTATAAGGGGGAAACATAGTCACTGATTCACTAAAGTATGGAACCATCATTCTTTACCTTGATATTACTTGATATGGCATGGAATGTTCTTTCCCACTCGACTTCATGTGTTGCAATATCTGAAACTCACACAAGCATGAAATCATAAATATGAAAATTCTGCGTGCCATTCATTGAGCAGACAAAATGAAAGCACGAAATGCATTACACACCACGTAGAGTTTTGTAGCCAATTTTGCTGGCTCGTCTCTAGATTCTTGAATTAGTTTGTGCAGAAACTTTGCTGCCTCCAACTCGACATTTTGTGCGGACGCCATCTCGTCCAAGACAGCAACCTAAAATGTGAAAATCATAATCATGACGTTGATATGACGATGAACAAAAATACCAATTTAACTTAAACAACTAGACGCTGAAATGGACAAAGTGATCCTAACATAAAAACAATTCACTGGTAATACAAATGGGAAATGCACGTTCTCTCCAATTGTGTTGAATTTTTCCCATATTTTTTCTTTGATGCACACCAAGTAACTAGTGATAACTGAAAGGGAAAATGCTGAATGAAGCAAACACTTCTCATAACTATCCTCTAAAACCACCACGAAAGATAGTCCCATGAAATATTTCCAATAACATCATCCATAATACTATAACTATTCCAATTTTACAATCCAGTGAGATCTCACATCAATTGGAGAGGGGAACGAAACATTCTTTGTAAGGGTGTAAAACCTCTCCCTAGCATATGCGTTTTAAAAACCTTGAGGAGAAACCCGAAAGGAAAAGCCGAAAGAGGACAATATCTACTAGTGGTGGGCTTGGGGCTGTTACAAATGGTATCAAAGCTAGACATTAGGCGATGTGCCAGCAAGAATGCTAAGCCCTGAAGGGCGGTGGGCTGTTACAAATGGTATCTGGGGCTGAGCTCTGAAGGGGGTGGACTGTTACAAATAGTATCAGAGCCAGACACCGGGCGATATGCCAGCAAGGATGCTAGAGTCCCAAAGGGGGTGGACACCGAGAGGTGTGCCAGTAAGGACGTTGAGCCCCAAAGGGGTGGACACTGGGCGGTTGCCAACGAGGACGCTGGGCTCCAGAGGGGTGGATTGTGTGATCCCACATCAGTTAGAAAGGGGAACGAAACATTGTGGAAATCTTTCCCTAACACATGCATTTTAAAAACTTGAGCGGGAACCGGAAAGGAAAGCTCAAAGAAGTCTGCTAGCGGTGGGCTGTTTCAATATCAGTTCAGCTCAAGTTTCACCAGCGGCAGTTGAAAACCAGAACAGACTTTACAATTGAATCAAAAAAAGACAGATACTTAAGCTAGAACAACGACATCAATGTATGTTGGGAAGTTCTTAAGTCTAAAAAAACAAACAGCACGAAGAAAATTAAAAAAGGTGCTTCATCAAATGGGCAACATTTCCAAGTCGGGAAATGAATTTGACAGAGTAGAAAATCTTCATGGACGAGTAAAGAAGAAGAAGCATACAACACCTGAAACGATATCCGCGAAGAAACTGGCAGCTGATGATGGAACTACATGAAACAAAACTCTGGTTAGAAGCTGAAGAAATTACCCAGCCCTCGAAAGGATGATGGAACTGCCATTTCCCCACCTGCTCGTTTTAACAAAAAAATAAAAATGGGATCGTCGTCCAAGCATGCTTCGCACGTGACAGTAATCGGCTTCTGGCCCATTCATTGAAACGTCGTCGGTTTGGGCCAATAAATGATCGTAATTGCCGACATGTCGGGTTTCGTGAAAATATGGGGACGTTTGTCGACCCATTTTGTTGGATCTGGACCGTTTGCAGGCTTCAAAAGAAAGCCCGTGGGAATGGATTTCCATTCAATTATCCGTAGTTTTCCTCTTTTTCTTTCCTTTTTTTTTAATCATAATCTCGAAATTTTATAGGAAAATATATTAATTTTTATTTAATAGTATTTTTACAATTTTTTTAAAATAATAATAAAAAAAAACATGACTCGTGTTGATATGTGGGGATAGTCTTCACTTTTAAGAAGCAAATAGTAGGTAATGCGACCGTGATACATCATGGTAAGTACCAAATTAGGGACAATCTTCACTTGTAGGGGATAGTATTCACTTTTAAGAAGCAAATAATAGGTAATGCGACCGTGATACCTCGTGGGAACGTCGGAGCCATCAAGTACCAAATCAAGGACAATCTTCGCTTATAGGAGATAGTTTTCACTCTTAAGAAGCAAAGAGTAGGTAATGTGACCGTGATGCATCATGGAACGTCAGAGCCATCAAGTACCAAATCGAGGACAATCTTCGCTTGTAGGGGATAGTTTTCACTTTTAAGAAGCAAAAAGTAGGTAACGCGACCGTGATGCATCATGGGAACACTGGAGCCATCAAGTACCAAATCGGGGGGACAATCTTCACTTGTAAGAACCAAATAGTAGGTAACGCAATCATGACACAGACGGGTCATCAGGTAGCAAATAAGGGATAGTCTTCACTCTTAAGAAGCAAAGACTAGGTAACGTGACTACGATGTAAGGAAATGTCGGTATCATCAGGTGCCAAATTCTGTATGTGGGACGTTACATTTTTTTGATATTGTGATACGTGCAATGTCGGGATTTATAATAATAATAATAATAAAGTTTGGCGTTGTTGGTTCACTTTATGGTAGGGGCTCCACAAATGGAATGTGGTGCCAAAACGTTTGGCATTGTCAGTCCACGCTGTAACGTTAACCTATCCAGGTTCATCCTGTGCCCCACTTTTCATGTAATCCAAACAAACAAAGCCCAATTGAACGCTAAGAATCTCTAAAAGCAACGCCTTCGAGAATGAGATTCTTTCCCATTTATATATTATCCCTTCTCATTTTTTAATTAAATTTTTTTATTTCAATTTGTTTGGGTTTCAAAATTATATTGAATTATTACTGTTGGATGATGAAAATCCCACCTCGACTAATTTAAGGTGTGATCATGGGTTTATAAGTGAAGAATACTAACTCCATTGGTATGAGGCCTTTTGGGGAAGTCCAAAGCAAAGCCATGAGAGCTTATGCTCAAAGTGGACAATATCATACCATTGTGGAGAGTCGTGTTCGTTTAACAATTACAATTCTTAATATTCTAGGAATAATGTGCCCAGTTAATTTGTTTCTAAATATTATTTAAGTCATGGATTATACCAAAATGAAAGGGTTGCCATTAGTAGATAATAAATTAAAAAAATTTAAATTAACGACCAGATAAGGTAAATTTAAGATGTCCTTTTTAGTTTTCTATTTTTTGAATTTATGCCGGTTTTGTTTTTTTTTTTTTACTGCTGTTTTATTACTTTTTTTGTTTTTGAAAAATGATTTGGAGGAGGGAAGCCAATTTACTGAGTTGGAGAGGTGAAGCGTTCAAATTTTGTCTCACAAAAGCTAATTTTTTTGTCTTGTTAGTGCTGATTGACCCCTGATTAGGACCAAGAATCCAACATGGAGTCGATACTCTGTGTTCGAGATGGGGACGTTCATTGACCTCTTGACCAAGACGGGAACCCAACGTGGAGTTGATGCTCCACATTTGAGATATGGATGCACATTGATCTCCTGGCTAGGATCAAGAACCCAACGTGGAACTGGCATTTTGTGTTTGAGATAGGAACGCTCATTGACCTCTTGACTAGGACCGGAACCCAACATGGAGTCAAAGCTCCACATTCGAGATATGGATCATTGACCTCCTGACTAGGATCAGGAACCCAACGTGGAGTCGACATTCCGCACTCAAGATAGGGACGCTCATTGACTTCTTGACTAGGACCGGAACCCAACATGGAATCGACGCTCCACATTTGAGGTATGGATGCTCATTGACCTCCTGACTAAGATTAGGAACCGAACGTGGAGCGGGCATTCTGCGTTCGAGATAGGGACGCTCATTGACCTCTTGACTAGGATCGGAACCCAACGTGGAGTCGACGCTCCACATTCGAGATATGGATGTTCATTGACCTCTTGACTAGGATTAGGAACCCAACATGGAGTCAGCATTCCGCATTCGAGATAGGGACGCTCATTGACCTCTTGACTAGGACCGGAACCTAACGTGGAGTCGACACTCCACATTCGAGATATGGATGCTTATTGACCTCCTGACTAGGATCAGGAACCCAACGTGGAGCCTGCATTCCATATTCGAGATAGGGACGCTCATTGACCTCTTGACCAGGACCGGAACCCAACACGGAGTCGACGCTCTACAATCGAGATATGGATGTTCATTGACCTCCTGACTAGGATCAAGAATCGAATGTGGAGTTGGTGCTCTAGGTTCGAGATAGTAACAATGATTTTTTAAAATTAAATAGTTTTAAACATGGTTGAAAAAATGACACCAAAATTGACGGGTGAAAGAGAATCCAAAGGTGATCCTTAAAATGGACCTTGGAATCCAAGCCCCACACAGTGACAATGAGACGAAATAAAAAGGCATTCTTTTTTTAACGCCAAAGTCTTCTATTCTTTGCTTTCGGTGAATAATGTAACGCCGTCTCCTTAAAACGGCGCCGTTTTGTTCTGTTTTAAAAGGGAAAACCCACCAGCCTCGGCTTCTTAGCCAATCTTCTTTTCTGCGTGGCTAAGGAAAATCAACACAGCGGGCTAATTTCATATTTATGGCGTTATTTTTATTTAATTATAACCTAAAAGTTGGATATTTATCGAGTAAAAATAATAAAATAACGGATAATTGAGCGTGTTGTATATGAAATTTGAATCTTTAGGATAAACATAAACAAATAAAACAAGGGAAAAAAAAGCTCTAACGCATATCTAAATGAATTAAGATTAGAACCACTAAATAAATAATTAAGGAAGACTCGGGTCGAATTCTAAGTTATGTGGTCAGCTTCATATGGGGCATGCACCTCAAAGTGCTCTTGGTTCGTGTAGTCCTAATCCATTCTAAATCTAGCTATCGTTTGATCTAATCCAAAAGTCGTGGGGGCAAAAACCATATCCGTGCGCGAATTTACCATATTTTGCAGGCCATATTCTACTCTACTCGAATAACTTTTACTATTGCTATTATGTGAAAGTCATGTGAGATTTATCTAACTAAACTTACCATCAGTAGACAAAAAAAAAATTGATATTTTAAAATGATGATCTATAATATGAAAAAAAAAAAAAAATAGAACCTAAGCTAACACGATTCAACTAATGATTAGACGTCGAAAAACAATTTGAAACTGACCATCGCTTATTGGTATAAGTCGATTACAAGGATTGCAGAGCAGTTATACTAATTTTTTTTCAATCTAACTTGAGCACCATAGTTCATACCACAAGAATGGCTTAAGTTCATTTGGTTTTGAATTAGTTTTATTAATAAATATTTAAAAATGAATTGAAAAAAAAATCCAAAAAATAAAAATAGACTCAAATGAATTTTAATTATTCAATATTTTTTAATTAGTCAACTTCACTCAAAATTTTTATAAGAAAAATTAGGAGTGGGTGACATTTTTTATTTTGTTTAAATTATAATTAGTCAACTTAATTTAAATTTATAAATATAAGAAAAAAAATAATCTAAATTATAACGCTATTAAGCCATTTTTTTTTATGAATGATTAATAAAATATATCAATAATTTACAAAGACTTTTATTTATTTTTAAAAATATTTGTATTTAAATTAGATTTATTACTTTAAAAAAGCTTTATTATTAATAATTTCGAGTATCACGATATATACCATTAACTAAAATATTAAATATTTAAAGGGATTTGAAACTTTCATAAAAAGAAGCCGAGCCGAGCCGTGTTCGAGCCAAGTTCACTTTTTCAAAAATTAACGGCTTAGAGCAAGCCGACCATGGGAGCGGGGGAGAAGATGGTAGTACTGATAGAGAGAGACCCGCGTAGCCATCGTTACCATTCTGCAAATCCAAGATTATTTCACGCTCGCTGCTTTCACTTGTCCCCTTCGCTGCTTCCATTTCCTCTCATTCCTTTCCTCCATTGCTGCTTAGCTCAGATCTCTCCAACTAACTCTTCACTCATCCACGCCTTCTTCTACTCTGCTCGCTCGCCAAACTTCCAATTCAATCGCGTAATCGCTTTAACTCGGCTACTACTGTGCTTGTACGTTGTACTCCATTTTCTTAATTCTTCCTTCCTTCTGCTGTTCTTGATCGGAGTGTAGCTGTTTTCTCAGATCTCTCTGTTTTTCCCCTTTCGATTTCGTGTATTTTTGTGTGTCTTGACGTGTTTTTGGCGATGTTTGCTGGGTCTCATATGTTTGTTCTTTGAGATTGGTGACGATGGTTGTGGGCAGCATAAGAGTTGTTTGTTTGTTTGATCTGATTGTTGCATTGAAATGTTCTTATTTTGTTGCCACTCCACTTTGTTTTCCCTTTTTGGATGAGTAGATCGATGGTGTCTGTTACTGTATCTATTTTGTTTTCATTATTTTTGTGAAATTTCATCTTCTTGGTTCACTTCAATGATTTCCCTCTGGCTCTGATGACTAAAGTTTTCTGCAATGGCAGTTTCAGAAATTGATTGTTTCTTAAGCTGATTGAGTCATGACTATGGAGCTTTTTGAAATTCGACCGGGCGAACTTAAATTCACTTGTAAGTATAAGAGAAACTCCTTTTTACATCTTTTTTTCTAGTTCATTGTGAACATCCAAGTATATATTACCAGGCAAGATACCAGTGAAAGGGCTGCAGATTTTGACTTGCGTAGTGTTTCTACTTTATCTGTGAGATCTCATTTAGGTTGAAGTGGGGAATGAAGCATTCCTTGTAAGGGTGTGGAAGCCTCTCCTAGCAGACACGTTTTAAAACCATGAGGCTGACGGAATATGTAACGGGCCAAAGCGGACAATATTTGCTAGCGGTGGGCTTGAGCTCTTACAAATGGTATCAAAGTCGGACACCGGGGGGTGTGGTAGTGAGGACGCGGGCCTCCAAGGGGGTGGATGGTGAGATCCTACATAGGTTGGGGAGGGGAATGAAACATTCTATGTAAGGACGTGGAAACCTCTCTTTAGTATACGCATTTTAAAACCGCGAGGTTGACGGCGATACGTAATAGGCCAAAGCGGATAATATATGCTAGTGGTGGGCTTGAATTGTTACATTATTACATTATTAGCCTCAAATTGTCTTAGATGAAAGTAAAGCTTAAATCATGATATAAAAATTTGGTAGGCCTGGCTTTGACTGAGTTGTAGCTTAGACGTGCTAGTTTTTAATAAGAAGAAAGCAGACCGAATATGTTGTATGATTTAGCCGGTGGGAGCTTGTTTCTTGACATGTGAAGTTAAAGTGCTCAATAAGATTTACTCGTTAGTGTTATTTTAACAAGTTTTGTATCCTTTCTTCTCCCAGTTGAGTTGAAGACTCAAAGTTCATGCTTGATACAGCTTATCAATAAGTCTGATCAGCATATTGCTTTCAAGGTACAGTATTCCAAATGGATCATACAAAATCTCTTTCCTGCCAATACTATTCCTTTCAATGAAGTGTCTGCTACAATTTCAGTACAATCAGAAAAAAATTTGTTTAATAGAATCTTAAAGCCTTGTTTAATAGAAAAACTTTGTATACAGGTAAAAACTACGTCTCCCAAGAAGTACTGTGTTCGACCCAATACTGGCGTCATTAAGCCTAAGGATACGTGTGACTTCACAGGTATCGTAGCGTACTGTTCTTGTAAAATTTTGGAACCACCATGGATTAGCCTGGTGATTAATAAGAGTCGTGTAAATGATTAAGGGTTTAGAAGAAACGAGTTCAAAGTTGCGAGTTCTCTTAACAACCAAATATAGTAGGGTCGAGCGATTATCCTGTTAGAATAGTTAGATGCATGCAACTTGGTTGTTAGACATAATAGCCTCGGTTTGTTTTAATATTTATTTTGTGTATTTAAGCTCTGCTTTGACTCAGAAGGATTACTTGCTTACTTTTGATCTATGCAGTCACCATGCTAGCTCAGCGTACGGCTCCACCTGATATGCAATGCAAAGACAAATTCCTGGTCCAAGGGACAGTCATTCCTGCTGGAACATCTGAAGAGGACATCACTCCTGACTTGGTAAGAATTATAGTTGTTTCTTGTTTCACAGGCCTTGTTCTAAGATTTTGTTATGCTAAGCAGTTTGCAAAGGGTAGTGGCAAGCACATTGAAGAGAAGAAGCTGAAGGTTTTTCTAGTAAGCACGACGCCACCTCCTGTTTTGCTACCAATTAATGGAGAGCTGAAACTAGATCCAAATCTTGAAACTTCCTTGCCAAAAGATAGAATGCAGACAGGAGTTGAGAACATACCTCCGCCTCTCAAGGTAAGTAACCGTGCACCATTCATGTGTTACGTTTTTCTTCTGTTTTAACTCGATCCACCTTCGGTCTGATTGCAGGGTGGCTTTAGTTTCAAATCTTGAGGTTATTATAATAAGCATATATGTAATGTGGAATGAAGCATATAGATTCTTAACTATTATCATACATATGTTCTTCTGATGGAAAACATGATTGTGGTTGAACTTTTTTTTCGGAGTGTATCTCTTGATTGGAAATTGATATATTCTAGGTTGCTGAAGATGCCAATGGACTTGATACCCGCAAACACATAGATGAGCTTAGACCAGTTGATTCCCCCGTACAGTTATCTCCACCTTATAAGGTATGATCGTGAAAGCAACTCTGTCAAGTCATATGCGCTTATATTTACATTCTTGTCAAGGTCTCTGTGAGATCTCACATTGGTTGGAGAGGAGAACGAAATATTCCTTACAAGGGTGTGGAAACCTCTCCCTAGCAGACGTGTTTTAAACCTTGAGGGGAAGCCGGAAAGTCCAAAGAAGACGATATCTGCTAGTGGTGGGTTTGAGTTGTTATAGTCTCTCTCTAGCTTTCAAATGTAAAGGGATTTCCCATCGAAGTATACATCCGTTTATCATTGTTACATTTTTGGAATCCTTGAGTTTGTGGTCTTAATATTGCATGAAAAGATATATGGCGTTTAGATTCCTGCATTTATGACTTATTGGACACTCGGATGTCTTCGATATGGTTTGTCAATGTTCAATCTTTTTTCCTTGTGTGTTTGAACTATTATCTATTCCAGGTTGCTGAGGGGGTTGAGAAACTTGATACTTGTAAAGATTCAGATGACAATAGAGAAGCTGAGGATATTGCAACGAGACAAAATGAGGATGCGGTGGCCGAACCAATTGGCAATGTTGAAACCACACCAGTTGAGGGAATTGAGGAATCAAAACCAGTGAAGGATCTGCCAGAGTTAAACTTAACGAAAGACTTGTTAGAGCTAAAGTCAAAGCTAACTCTCATGGATGCAGAACTGATAGAGGTAGACCTTTTCTCTTGAAGCTAGACTATCTAGTACTTTATGTGGTAGTTATGTTTCTCTTTACGACAATGTTTATTCATGTTGGGAGAAAAATAAAATATTCAACCCAACAACTTGGGATTTTGAGACTCCTAGGTCTCTCATTAAGCAATCTAGCTCCTTGGTGATTACTTGCCTTCTCCTTTCCCTTCTCTCCCCTTTTAACAAAGTTTCTTACCATACTCGAGCTCAGTCTCGTGCATAGTTTTGTACGGAAAGATAACAAACTGATGGACGTTTGGCTCCGTTTGTGGGGCTGCAATTTTAGCATTTTTCTTCTCTTTGCAATTACATTCACTGATACTTGGGTCATCTCCAAGTTTAACCCAGACATAGCTCACTTCTTTTTGGGTGTGAAGCAGTGTCGCTTCCTTCCTCTCTCTATCGGTCGAGAATCTTCGCACGGGGGGGGGGGGG